TGCAGTCAATGAAAGGTCATTAAGGGGAACATGGCCGCACCGCATTTGATTGTTCCCGCTACTGGCCCTCTTGCATCCTCTTGAACAAGTCAAGAGCAGTCACACCGTCCGAGAAGCGCTGTCGCTTGACGAAAGCGCACCGAGCAACAGGTTGTCACGGAAAATTGGCGCAACCAGCGTGGCCAAAGCAACTCGTCTTGTTGTGGAGAAGCCCTATGCAGGCGCAGGGTCATCGGGCGCAGGCGTAGACATGATATGCTCGAAGAGTAGCTGCAGCTCCCGGGTCTGGACAGCCTTGCAGAACTCCATGGTATCTGGATCCTCTGTCCTCACATGCAAGTGCAAGGCGCAAAACACCACACCTTTGCGCAGCTGACACCAGATGGACATCTCGTGTGTGGAGAAGAATCCCTCTCCCACATTCACATTCACAGGCCAAGGAACAGCAGCACGTCCTCACAAAGTTTGTTGAACAGTGAAGGTTCCCACTTCGGACCCATCGTCCGAAGTAGGCAGCGGGAGTCATGGCCTGGTAAAAACTGCTTTTTTCTGCTCTCTTCTGCTCTTGCCAGCACATGCAAAGCACATGCCTTGGGCATCTGAGTCATCTGAGCTCTGTGCAGGCGCCAATGAAGTCTTCGGCATCCTTGCGAAGTTGGGCGAAGATGCTGTGCTGGCTGGCGCCCAAGGAAAAGGCCTGGCCCAGCCAGTATCTGCCTCTGCCGGGAAACAAGGTTTAACAAAACTTGAGTGCCACTTACTTGCAGTTGTTCAGCTGTAGCTAATCGTGGAATTAAACGTGCTCTAAATCTATCCAAGGTTCTGTTGTTGAACCTGAGATGGCTTTCTCGCACCCAAGGCACTGCAACAAAGCCATACAGTTTCTAAACCTGCCCTGCTACGACTTTGACGTGCCCCTTCAGCGGACTAAACAAATCACCGGTGCCATCGAGCTTCCCCGATCCAAACTCGCCCAAGTTTTCACCTGCAAACTGTCAGCTTGCGTCAGCTTGCAAGTTTCTCATTGCGTTTCCGCTGCTCAGTGAAGCATGCGACAGGCATCGTGCAAGGACAAATCATCACCATTCGCGTGCCTTCCATGCGGTGGACGATGACGTGGCAATATGCAGCCTCACGGAACACCTGTGCGCTGACATCAACGACTGCACGGTCGGACTTGATGGTACCTCGCCTTGTGCAGACCTTCACCAATAAAATCTCAAGAATCAACAGGGCACGGCTTCAACTGATACAAAGTCGCATGTGAAAGCGATATCTTGAGCAAACCGAACCAAACACTGCGGCCATGGTGCCGTGCTCCCCAGCTTCGGCGGACCACCAAACGTGGTCGGTGTGCTCCAGGTGTGGGGAGTTACGAGGTTGTGGGCCTGCAGGCTCGCGCTGTTGAAGTTGACATGGGGGAACTCGCACACAGCTGCTGCAACTCAACATGCGAGGTGAGACCGGGCAAGCACAGCCTCATCCAGGGCGCCAAGCATCAGGCACAGCCTTAATAACATTCTTAGAAAAAAACAACAAGGCTAGAAAGTTTAGTCTAAGAGCTTAAACTATTGGTTGCAGAGGCTGGGGGGCAGCTAGTAAGTTTATTCTCAGAGTTTAAACTAGTGGGATCCCAAGCGAAGGAGGGGGGGGGCAGGGGGGGGGCAGGGGGGGGGAACTCACCCGGTGCGTTCGTCATCCCGCAATCGTTTGTTCTCTCTGGACAAACAAACTTACAAACTCAAGCCAGCCGAGATAGCTAGTGGCCACCCCCAACCGCCCTTTCCCCCCGACCCTGGCTCGAGTTCGTTTAGCCGGGGAAACAAAGGATCGAAACAATTGTTTCGGAGAGGGAGGGAACCTAACTAACTCCCATGCCTCGAGTTAGTTTAGCCAGAGAAAACAAACGTTGGCAGGAAACCTTTGTTTCTGACCAGGAGCCTAGATATCGACAAGTGCTTCGACATGTCACCGAAGAACTGCACAAGCTAGTTCGCTTCCCCTCCTTCTGGCCCTATCGTAATCGTGATAGTGTCCGTAGTAGCAATGTAGGACTACGAGCCCTCGATTCTAGTTTAGAAACCTTACTTTGCTGTCCTAGCAACCTTTGTTTTGACGCACAGTTTCTCACCGAGACAAACCTTTCCAGAAACCCTGTTGTCCAAAAGTTTGTTCTCTGTGCCTAAACTAACTTGCGTCTGCCCTATTTGTCTTGTTGGGGCTCACGACAACAGCCCTGCCGAGTGCACAAAGCCAGAAGGGCACTCCATGCACACATTTGCTGAATCAGCCCAGTCACACAGCAGCTGCCGCCTCGGCCCTGTCGACGTCCACGCCCTTGGAGCAAAGCCCCATGACCAGCAGCTGCGTGGCCTGAGTATGACTCCGCAAACATAACGATGCAACCCGGCATGCTTGTGAACAACCCCGGCTATATGAGCACATGAGCACACCTTTCCACGACAACACCCCCTGAGCTCGCCTTGCTCCCGCCTGGCGCGAGCTCTGGAATGCCGCAGCTGGCGAGCGGTGAGCGCAAAGGCTCCGCCTCCCCGCAGGTTAGTCAGGTTGTGCACCGGTACGGTGCACACCACGACACGCGTACTCGGAGACTGTCAAAAGCTGCCATCGGCACACATGCACGGCAACAAGCCAAAAGGAAGTCGCCATTGCAGTTCCACTTTCCAATAGCCTACCGCTGCATGAGAAGCGAAGTGGAACAGAGCTCTTTCACTCCGCAGTCCACCCTCCTCCCCGGTTTTAACACTTGTGATGAATATGGGCACATCGGGCACACCCATTTATTACCTTCCCCGGCACAGAGCATTGCCTGAGGGCCAGTCGGATATTGAGGGGTTTTCTTTAGCATAGAAAGCTCTGGCAAGGGCTTCCAGGGGCCGAAAGGACACCCGTTTTTGTCCAGGGGATGTTCTGAGCCGAAGTGCTGACCCCTTGGTTTCAGATTCCCTTTGTTCTGTGACCCAGCAACATCTGGGGCAGGAGGGGGGCCGGCAAGATGGGGATGCAAAAGGCTAACCGACACATGACACAGTAGGCGTGTGGTAGGTTTCAGCCGGTTCTTTTTGACAACCCCTCGCGTGGTGGCCCTGTCGGGGGGCTGAGCGATGCTGGGAGCTGTGGTGAGATGTGCTAGCCTATTCGGGATTCAGGGAATCACCGTGCCGTAGCTCGTGCAATTTGTGTAAGTTTTGGGTTTTTGTCCTGAGGTTCCAAAAAATGTCAAGGCAACTTTAAGGGGCAGATGGTGTTTGTCATGCAGCCTTGGATAGCCTGGGGCTGGCTTTGAGGCGCTATGGGGAGTCTGTCCACAAGCCCTATGTGAGAACCCCACCCCGGAGTCGGCAGGGATGATCAGAGTCACATTTAGAGTTGCACTGAGAGCACACTTAGAGCACACTTGAAGCACGCTGCGGCCTTGTACTCCATTACTTGGCTGCGAACTGGGACACCCTGCTTCGCCTGGAGCAACTCAGGGTTTGAAGCTGCAGCACTGCCTCCTGACGCTTGCTCCGAGTTCAGCCAAGCCATGCCAAATGCTTGAACCAAGCTTCAGCCAGCTGGAGCACCTCGGTATTATTTCATGATTCTAAGACCTGGCTGCTTAGAGGCCAGACGGTGCAGTCCAAGCGCAACGGGCACCCTCACTCTGAGCCCTGAAACTGCTCGGCAATTGCGCCCAAGAACATGTAAGAGTATCTCTGGAAGCCCAGAGCCCAGCTGCTTGACACTCGGTCAAATCGGCAAAGTCAAGCGAAATAATGGATCCCAGAATTTCCAGCATAGCTGTTCTCAGGACGTCAAGCTTAGTGCTGGGACCGAGACCTTCTTCACGACTACTGTGCGCATGGATGTGCTTCAGGTGCTGTGTCTCCCTGCTCCAACACAAAGCAAGCCTTTTTACGCAACACACCCCACTCAGAAAAAACACCATCCAGAAACACTTCCTCGGCTGAATGCTTCAACATGACTGAAAGAACTCTCGCCTTCAAGACTCAAGACTGTCAACCATTGGGAGCGCTAGAGCTGACCGAGCACCGCATCGACCACGGATGCTGCAGCATCCGCTTGTGCAGAATCGATTTGAGCTGCGGCTTGTTCCTCTTCACGAGATGCCGGCACCTCGCCTGATACTGGCTGTCAACGGTCAATCTAGAGCTGGGTGCCCCAGTCCGCCATTGCCAAATTTTGCTTCTCAGTCGCTGATGATCTCGGCATCCACGATCTCCACAGCACGCATCCGGAGTCTGGAGCGAGCTTGGGACCCACTGGACAAGTACCGACCTCGGCAACTGACCCCAAGGGTGGCGGCAAAGAGGTGCCACGCGTAGAGCGCGTGACATGGGGAAGGATGTGGAAAAAATGTGTGTAGTGTACAAAATGCCTCAAGCCAGCAGAAAGGCGCCTGAATGAGCTGTGGCCACAGCGGCAGCTGCACAGGCTGCTGCGGTCAAAACTGGGCGGCTGCCTTTGCAAACATCGGCTAGTTTAAGCCTTGCTGCACCCTTACCTGGGCTATGCCTGTACACGCCATGTTCAATCCCCAGATTTCAGATGCTTCGCCTGCATATATTTATTACAAGGGATGGCACTGCCAACGGCCCGCTGACATCACAGCGAGAGCACTCTCACCATTGCGGACAGCAGAGGAAGCAGGGCAGAGTTCAATCCAAGTTTGGCAAAAAAGACACATCCAGGCAAATACAGGAACCCACACAACTCAAACACAATGCATGGACAGAAAATGGACCCACTGGCCACTGGCATGCGCAGACTTTTGCGGTCCAGCCACTCTTTTGGCCCTGGACATAAATGGGGACCTTCCGTTCCCAGTGCCCTGTTGAAGCAGCCGCCGGCGTCGCAGCACGCAACGGCAATGTCGAGAGAGACATGGCGGACTGTTTGAGCCAAGAACTGCAATTTGTCTTCGCTTCGCCCAAACCCTGTACCACCCACCCGTGCCGGTGCAAGTAGCAGCTGGCCTCGAGGTATCCAGCTTGGGGTGTGAGCCTCTGACCCCCATCAGGAACCAGAAGCATGCGGTTTTGCGGGAGGAGGCTCAAGTCCTTGGCAAAAGCAGGGCACCAAAAGCATGGCATGATTGTACGATACTCGCACGTATCTGCAGCATCCGTCGTCCTAGCTGCAGGCATGCAGAACCAGCCCTCATCGAGAAAGGTTTCTAGACAGGTACGTGGTGAATCGGGCACCTGCATGGGGAATTGAAGCTGACTTTACTTATGCCGCAACTTATGCCGGACATTAAGCCGTTAGCCCTTACCCGCCGGATATGCACCCCATGCTCCGCCCCACAGTTCACGATTGCAACCACGCCGTCATGCACCGGCGGAGCACATGCCTACTAGGCAACTCGCAATCTGCAGTCCAAGTCTGTACCTCTCATCTCATATCACCTCCTTTATGGTCGGCTGATGACATTGGATTCTAACACGATCTGACAAGAAGCTGGAAGTGGCACCACATGAAGAAGGTCTGGTCTCAGGAAAACCTTCAGCGAGCGCTGGCGGAGAGCGTCAATCCGGCAATTCTACGGAAAGCGGACTCGCTTTGGGGTTTGAGGAAATCTTTGGGGCACCCAGCAAACCACGGACATGTCGCCCGTCTGTCTCGGGCGTCAAGCAACACATTTTTCTTGACAATGTCGCATATACGGGCAAGTCGCCTTCTGAAACCAACCCGTCATTTGCGCGTGTGAAACTCTTGCCTTGACATGAAGGCAATAACTGTTTGTGGCATGCGGTCACTGCTCACTCCTCGTCCCACCACACTTCCTGCATCTCCTCGACACTTTGTCGCAAGCAAAATGAGAGGCGGCACACATGGGAAAACAACAAAACTGAGTCCTTGTAAGCACAATGACGACATAGATCGAACCAGCAGCGGCTGCAGTGGCAGAAAGCATCTTGAGGCTCTAGTTCAGCTTCTTCGGCTTCCACCTGCAGGGCCCGCTTGCGAGACAACACGCAACAACACAAGCTCCTGACAGAAGGAAACAACACCCACGCGCCAAGGATCCAAAGACTAAACCCTTACACTGACACTCGTGAGAATGTTCAAGAAGGCTTCGGACATTGCAGGGATGCGCTTGAATTGAGAAGACAAGCAAAAACTCGTTAAGACACAGAGGTTTCTCAAAAACATGCAAATTCGCACTTTGCCGACAAAGTGTCAACCACGAATAAACGTTGTTCTCGCCCTCCCCTTTCCTCCCCCCCCCTGCAGTGCCCCTCCCCCTGCAATGCCCCCCGCCTCACCCCTCCCCCCCCCCCCCCCCTTCCCCCGCCCCTGCTTCCCCGCCCCTCCTTCCACCCCACCCCGCAGCACCCCAAGATCAGGAAAGCCCTAAAAACGCCACCGGCGGTGACAGGTCGTAGGCCAACTACATTCGCCTTGCGTCGCCAAACACTCTTAACGCTCTTACGTGCAATTAATTTTACCGCGGGGTCAAAAGTGAGACACCCCTTGCTGTAAAGAAAAAACTCCCAGTGACTTGAAAAAATCTACTTGACCTGAAGGCACCGCGACTTTCAGACTGGAATCCGTGGAGTTCGCAAAATAACTCAAACCTCTGCTTAAGCTCAAAACGTGGCTGCTGGGGTTTTCGGATTTAAGGCAACCGACAAAGAGGCGAGGAACAAGCTCTTCTAGCGCGAATGAAGAAGCGAACCCATAATTCTACATGGTTGCATCCAAAATGGCAGATTAACTTCGTCATGAGTTCAGCACCATGGAGGCGGCATTTACAAGGGCAGTGTATTCACCTGGAGCACCCAACCAGCTGCGCAAAGCCTCCCCTGATGCAAACTCTCTACTCCCATACTGATCCTGCGATGATCGTGCGAGTGTGGATTGCAGCATGTCAAGGATTTTGGCAGCTCTCAGGATTTCGAAGAGCTCGACAGCTCCAAACGTTGTCAATAACAGCCGTTGAAATTGTTCGACTGTTCCAGGCAACTTACAACATTTCGAAGAGTTTGATGGTTAGGGTTGTAAACGGCTCAGAACTTCTCCGGGCCTCGTATTGTGGTGTTTGCAGCTACACCTCTGCCAGGTTGATGTGGTGTGTGGTGGGCGGGCTTCGGCGCAACAGTTTTCATCGCTGCACGTTGACCTTCGCAAAATGGCGTGGGTATGACTTGAAACACCCAGTTGCGACAGCGTTCATCGGAGCATGGTATCTTCATGCAAACGTCGAGACATTTTCCTCATGGCTGGCCCTGACAAGAGCATTCAGGCTGGTAGGGTAGCCACCTGGGTGCAGACGTGCTCGGGCGTTTAAACATTCTTGGCTTCAGCAGGGTATTGAAAGTAAAGTCAACAAGTTGTCAGGATACAAGCATGGGCAGTTTCCATGTTCGTGTTCCTCATGTCCTTCGATCTTTCTGAGCTTCAATTGGTGAGCTTGTTTGGGTGTTGGTCAGAAGGGCCACTGGACTGCAAGCTTAAGCTCGAGAAAGCTGAGAACAAACAGAAAGAGCCCCAGTTCTTAGAAGCAGCCAACCTGCAAACGAATGTGTTTGATGCAAAGCGCCTGTCCCAAGAGCTCTCGCTTGCACTGGTCGCAGCTCACACCACCCGAATAAATGGCAGCCCTCGGCCGGTGTCGCCGCAGGGGCATTGAGTGCAAGCAGCGGGGACAGAGGCAGGTGCGAAAGCCTTCCACGGCAGTGAGAAGTCCTGCGGATTAGGGATGTTACGAATCAGACATTGAAGAATTGAAGAGACAAAGAACTTTTACATCTCAACCCTCCCAGACAGCTCCTGCAACAGGTTGGTCTGGTGCTGCTTGTTCTTGCCCTCCCTTCTGAGGTTCACAGTCACCTTTGGGATCGTTTGCTTCACTTGATGCCTGGTCCTCTGCAGATGAAAGGACAGGTGGTAGAGGTGGAAGCCCTTCGATTTTGCGCCTCCTGTCTTCCAGCTTGGCTTGCATCTCCTCACGTGCACATTTTGCTCCTTGTATCTTGGTGGCCAAGACAGCAGCCGAGCCTTAGCTGCGGATGCTTTGCAGTCAGGGGCTGCTCACGTTCCCCGAAAAAAGCCCCGTGACGGCGCAGTCGGTGAGGAGGAGAAAGCAGGCTAGCAGAGAATAGCTGAATAGCAGAGACAGAAAGGGAGAGAGTTAGGTTTGAAGAAGAGCAAGCTCGGCAGCGGAACGAGACAGAAGAACCATTTCAAAACCCTCACACCATCCACCGCCCTAGAATCATCTGCGCTGGGTGTTTCAAAGTAGTTAGTGTTTAAGGGTTTAAGGGCTTAAGTGTCTAGGTCGAGGATACCCGCTATCGTCCCCCTCACCGCATACATCACAACGATGGTGGAAGCAAGGTGCTGGAAGTAGATGAAGCAGTAGTGCTAGCAAAGCTGAGACGTCCTGAAGAGAATGATGGCGCAGCGGTCGAGCACACGGAACCATCATAGTCCTCGTCATGCTCTCCCTTCCCACCGAAAGCTTTGGTAGCCTCATCCATGGCCTTGACCCGACCCTTGACAGTTCCGGGTTCAAGGAGGCTGCCTCGCTGAGATGACAAAGCAGCTGCTCGTATTTGTGCCGGCGGTGGTGGTATGGGCACGTGGAAATCGAAGGACTGCCCACGGCGAAGAGGACGGGTACAAACAAGCACGCCGCTCGTTGTGAGCAGTTTGATCCTGAACTCGCGCCCTTCTTTGGCTTTCGGCCGGAGGGCCCATTCAATTCCTGGCTTCACATCTGCTGTTAAGACTGGTGCCGCCTGGCCATGAAGCCACTGCAACATTGGCCTCAACAACGGCAGATCTGCCCATGGTGAGATTTGAGCGCCCTTTGGTCGATGAAGCTCAACGCGTAGAGGGACCTTTGTCCGATTCCGCACCAGCATCGATGCCTGAGAGGGGTGCTTGGTTTTCTGTGCTTCGATGTGCACGTGCCACACGTGCCACACATGCCACACATGCCACACATGCCACACATGCCACACATGCCACACATGCCACACATGCCACACATGCCACCTCCGCAAGACCGCTCCTAAAGATCTTGCCTCTTCGTTCAACACCCAAATCCAAGGCCATGGTTCTGGAAGAGCTCTTGTCCTGCAGGTTGCGCCTAGCTACGGAGTGCATCACAAGGGCTGATCCGTGGAGAGGGCCGATTTTGGCTGAGTCTCCTGATTGCATCCAAATGAACCTCCAATCGGCGCCAGGTGATTGGGCAGCCGCCGCTCGCCTTCTTTAGACACCTGCGAACCTTGCTGGCGAACACCGGAAAGGAGCACACGCCCTTCCTTGGCTTGAGGCTCTTGGAGACTTCAGATGTCTTGGCTAGAGTGGGTTTCCTTTCATGTGTCAGATTGCACTTATACTAAATTTGCATGAACAACCAACGGCGCGCAGGTCCTCAGCACAATATGAAAACTCACAGGGCCAGGTTGAGCGATAGTGGCTGGAGCAATGCTGTGAAGAAGAGAATTGCCCAGCTACGAAGCTACAAAAATGGTGGCTGGCTAGCATTTGCCTTCGAGCAACTCACGGGCCAGCACCGCGCCCTCTGCATCTTCTGCCTGGCCCATCCACCCCAACGGATCGGATGGTCGCCAGGCCAGTGCTGCATCTAGCAGGCAAAGCAAAGCTACCGCTGCGGAGCGGAACCTTGATCAGGCCCAAGGACACCACATTCTTCAGAAATTTCCGGAAAACACAGGAAGTAAAAATTGTCCACTTGCTGCGAAGTTTCTCCTGTTCCTGGTCAGGCTGGGTCTTCCATCGCTTTTGCTCCTCTTCTTCCACCTCGTCTGGCTCGGCAGAAGCAGCATTTGGGCGCAGGAGGCGGGTGACTTTCAATGTATGCGCTGCTTTCTCCTCCTCGTCGAAGACGCTGTGTCGAGACAAGGAGGTCACAGCCATTCGGAGCGAATTTCTATCGCCGTCAAAGAGACTTCCCTTCGGACAGTGTCTCAACTCGAGGAACTGGCTGACCAAGTATGCTAAAGCAGCACAAACACCTTGCTTGCTGCGCACTGTGCCCCACTGCGGGTTGAAGAGGCGCTCATAGGCTTGGCTGCTCCCGGGAACAGACAAGCCAGAAATGACCCCAGATTCGCCTGCTCCAGTTTTTTTAACTCCGTTGCCCCTCGCCGTCGGCCTCCTGCCCGCTTGGCCCCGCAGCGGTGTGGGAGAACACAGTCCGCGCACCTTCTTCAAATGTTTGCGATAGTCCTTGTCGGCCGAAGCCTCACTGTGCTTGCTGCCCAGGCCTCGGTCTCCTGAAATGCAACTGAAAGCCATCGATGCCGGGCCTTGGCGTGTCCAATGCTTCTCATCATGAGCCAAGCACCAATCTACGGCTTCAAACATCTGCCGGACAGCAAGTAAAGGTTGCAAGGATAGAGGACTGCTTTGAGGTGCATGTCGCTTCACCTCCAGCAATCGTTTCTCAATAGCTTGGCGTTCATTCCGGTCGGAAAACGCTTTCGCCGCCAAAGCGCCAGCAGTGGCAGACACGGCGCCCACTGCAGCACCTGATACACCAGCTGCAGCCGCTCCAAACGCATCAAAGACTTTGAGCAATGAACCTCCAACAACTCCTGCTGATGCAACTACACCAGCTTCGGGAGCCACCTCCCACAAGGCATCCTGCATGATGCCGACCGGCACAAGTGCTTGAGCCAGTGTCTCGAAAATCGCGGCCGGCATCATTTCGCAACTGAAGATGAAACAAAGCAGCTTACAAGCGGACTGTGGTCAGCCAGTGTCTTACAAACCGGAAGCTGCTAAACATGCAGCCGAGTGGCTACCCAGTCAAGTCGGCCCGAGGCGCTTTCCTGCCAGCGATCCATCAATGTTCTTGGGCCATGGGCGGCATAAGACCTGGCCTCTTCCTCTAGAGCCGATTGGCACCGCGCTAGGCCTTGCAGCTGCCGGACCCATTTCCTCAGCAACGGCATTTTTTTGCACTTTCTTGCTTTGCGACTCCGAGCCCTGGGTTTGTGACAGTCGGCCGTGGCCTTCACCATGCCACCATGCATCCTCCGGGTAAGCGTTGACCTTCGAAGGGCTGGCATGCCAGAAGGAACTGGGAAGACGCTGCAGGCAACAAATACTGGAAGCTTCATTACAACTGAAAACGCCCTGCCAAGCAACCAATCCTTCGATATCCTGCATGACACAGCGTAATGTACCATGCTTTCTTCCAACAACTCCTGCGACATGCTATCCCATGTCCTCATGGCTGGCATCATCCAACAACTCAACTTGCCGCAGCATGGCCGGCAAAGGGCCGAGTCGCGGGCATAACCTCGGACCCGCATGCGCAGACCCGCGCAAATTTCGCAATGGTTTCACTATTCTTTGTCGGGCCAGGGCACGTCGACCGTAGGGCTTCCTCTAGCTGGGACCGCATGGAGGTGGCATTCGCTCTGTCTAGACCAAGATGGGGCTGGCTTGCAAGCCTTGGACGCTTCGGGAAGAAGAACCACACAGCAGTGGGCCAGTCACAAGCCGAAGCCAAGGATCATAAAAAATAGTTTCAAAGGAGTCGAACTGCCACCTGCCCAGCAACAATTCGCTCTACTCGTGGTGTGGCATGTTCATACCCATCACGCAGTCAGCTCATGTGCACCTGCCACGGGACAAAGGCTTCCAAACAGCTGCCTAGCCACGGGCAACAACAGCTCGCCAGACCTGGGCGGCACGTACCAAACACACAGGACTAAGGGAACCACTGCCTTATCGCGGGAATCACCGGAAGCTACCACATCATGCGAACATGCCAGGCATGTCTAGGCTAGTTCCTCGATGTGATGGTCCGGCCAACTCACAGGTCCACCGCAGGCGGCAGGATGCGGCAGGGTGGCATGGCAGCAATCACCCAGCACAACGTTTCCCGAGGTGAAATGCCACCTCTCCCTTGATTTCTTCCGCCACGTGCCATGCTCTTGCCACCCGCGCACACTGCGATATGCTGCGATTCTTGGAGGCCTCTCTACTTCTGTCAACTTTCCATGCCATACATTGAAGCTTCGGCAGGGTGAACCTTTAGTGAAAGGATCTGTAGCTGTAATGGTGCGGGTATATAGGACGTGTGGAGAGTGAGCAATGCAAGCTTGTGTCTGTGGCGGCCGGACAAAGCAGGGGAACCAACCCCGGCTTCTCCGGTCGGGCAAGCATGGGGGGGTCCTGATAGAAAGAAAGCTTAGCAGCTTCTCCGCCGCGTGCAAATTTCTCATCATGTTTCGAACCTTGCAACCAATCAATAACCAGTACACACACTGCCGCCTGTCAGCAACTGGATAAATTCAGAACATGATGGTACCTGAAACGTTTCAGCGGCCACTTGAGATTCAGCAGTGATTGCAACTGGCCGCACTATGAATGAACAAGTTCAAGCAAACCCGAAGAGTCAACTGCGCAGTGACTTGGAAACACCATGAACATGAAGCAGATAACATGCACGTACGCGCGTCACAAGTGAACAATTCAGCCCTTGAGGAATGTTGCCCCATGCATCCGAGGTTCATGACTCGAGGCTGTCCAGCAATGCACACCGCAGCTTGGAATGGCCGACCTGCACATGCTGGGCTGTTGCAACTAATGGTCATCCATTTATCCGTCTATCCATCGCCACAGATCGCCACGTCAACGTTCTGCGAACCATGGCCCACTTATCACGGTCCTGTACGATACCGTAGTGGCGTAGGCAAATCAGGCCATCGATCCAAAACCGACGTCCATCGCATTTCCTGCCGATACTTCTTCAGCATGGCTGCTCGCGAAACCCAATTGTGGCCTTCAGGTTGAACGCGACGTGTGATGAGAGTTGCGCGACCATGGTTGCCAAGATGCCTGCGTGAGACGACAATCCTCCTGTAGCATTGTCACGCAAAGCTCTAAGTCTCCAACCCAAGCAAGTGTCCTGCCCGAGCAAACGACGCCGCCTGCTACTGGAAACATGATGAAGGACACGGCTTTGCTTCCGTTGCACACTGTCGGCGCACTCATCCCGCAACATCTCGAAAGCCGAACGCAGCCGATCCTCACAAATTTTCACGAGATGTCCAAACAAACAAAACATGTGAGAAAATCTCCTCGCCCCCTCCCCCTCACGCATTCGTAAAAGAGCGCGCGCACACACACTCACAGACACAAATTAGGCTAACCATGTCTGGGGAATGGTTTCCCAAATATCCTCACTTGTGTCTATCTGTGTCGTTGGCATGGCAGTAAACAGGGTGGTTTGGCCATGCTGTCCTTGGACATGGTCGATGCCACACAGCCTTGCCTTCAGCTGAGTCGAGTCGAGACCTGATCGCCCGAAGGCGTCCCCTGTAGGGTACAGGTGAAACATTCCATAGAAGCTTATGCAGATTCCTGCCCCATCACAGATTTGCAACAATCATCGCGTGATTCATTCCACATTTTGTTGTGCATAGCTGCTGTTTCCCCGACGACCCAGCTGGAGGCGAGCGAAATTCTCCAGGCAAGTCATCCACTTGCTACAGCGTCTACCAACGTCTAATCCATCTTGCATCAGGCAGTCTGATTCTGCCCCTGGCTTTGGGGCATCGAGCGTCCGGCTCTGTTTCCCGATTCCATCCCTTCGCGTTCGGCCCTCGTCCTTTCGTTGGGAACTGTTTGTTGTTTGCTCTTTTTTCTATTTTTGTTAGGCCCTCTTGCAGGCGTGTTCCCTGTCGCGGATTTTGTTTTGCACGGCATGTTTTTTGTTTCTGATTTCGGGGTTTTCTTTGTTGGCGTTTGGGCTGCTGGCTCAGGGATGCTGAGGGATTACGAGGGTTCAAAGATATACGTGAGAGACAAAAGAGTACTTCCCACTCATGCACGGCTGCATCTCAGGAGATAAGAAGAGATCGCCCAGCATCTTGCACTCCCGCACACGCACACACGCCACGTACACACGCGCACACGCGCACACGCGCACACGCGCACACGCGCACACGCGCACACGCGCACACGTGCACACGCGCACACGTCGTGCACACGCGCACATGCGCACACGCGCACACGTGCACACGCGCACACGCGCACACGTGCACACGCGCACACGTCGTGCACACGCGCACATGCGCACACGCGCACACGTGCACACGCGCACACGTGCACACGTGCACAAACTCTGACAGACACGCACACACGCACGCACACACGCACGCACACATGCGCACACATACAGACGCGCACTTGCGCACACGCACGCACGCACGCACGCGCCCACATGCGCACACACGCATACGCGCATACACGCACATGCGCACGCTCACACGCGCACATGCGCGCACATGCGCGCACATGCACGCACACACGCGCACGCGCTCACACGCGCACACATACACGCACACGCACACGCACACGCACACGAACACATCAACACGGTTGCAGCATGTTGCAGCAATCCGGAGCCTTCAGGACACGGAAGCCCACAGCTTGTTGCCACACGGGCCCACGAAACCTGAACAATCCAACCCGGTGCGACATACCAACCATTGTCCCAACGGGCACTTACGACAACACAATATGCATGTTTTTTACCGACAATTGGTTGGAACCATCTCAAGGCTAACAAAATTGGCTGTACTTGAAGCAGCCTTGGCGGACCTTCTGGTTGGGTCAGAGCCTGCCCTAATTGCAGTTGAAGACATGTCAGCGATAAGTCTGTGAGCCACGGATCGGTTTGAGTCAGAGCCTGCCCCTTGCTGATAAAGCCACAAACCAGGGAGGCCCAGAGACCTAGGCCCAGCGGGCGCGAGCTAGGAGCTCGTGCAAGGCTGGAGGTGGTCCCGAGTCGGTCTAGCTACGGGTTCCTACGCCCTGAACGGCATCCGGCTGCAAGACTCCGCGCCCCCGCCGTCGAGCGCACGTTCAAGTGGCTTATCTGCCGTGCTGGTGGGGAGGCCGTTGGCCATACGCAACCAAGCGCCATTTGCGCCACTGCTTGTTGCACGGCGATTGACAGAATGCCCCACCACTTGCGCGCCCATCCTGATCGTGCTGCTAGCCGGACTGGGGCCGGTGCCCGGCAGGCGCGGGCACGCACAAGGTCGCGCATGAGCCCCAAGGAAGCGCCACTTCCGTTTTTTTCCGCGCCTGTTTTCCACCTGCCGGAGGCATCGTCCAGACACCAAGGACGGCGCTGCAGGCCGCTCGCTGGACGGCAACGGCCAAAGCCCCCCACCAGCGCCGCGCCTATCCCTGGGAGGCTGCTCCACGCAGCGTGGCTGGGCCCGGCAAGCGCGCGGGGCGATGAGGTACGAGACGCTGGGATTAGTTGGAAAGGCGGATGCCGCTCGCGCCACCCAAAAAAACACTTGGGGGAATGCGCGGCTTGGCGGCGTTGGTGTCGCGCGCATATTTCTGAGTCACGTTAAAGTCTTCCGAGCCAGGCGGCTTGAGTTTCATCATTTGGTCCGTCGCAAAAAGGCGGCATTTTGGAATGGCTGGCTTGAATGTCAGGAGCATGATTCAGTGATGAACCCACGCCGTGCTGCTCAAAACATTCGTCGGCAGTTTGGCCCGTCTCCTCGCCCATTGCCCGCGTGTATGCGTGCACCATTATCCCACGAGGCCATAGAAGGCCCAGCTTGTGTCGAAGCCTGGCGGTGCCATTTCAGAGATGTTCCTGCATCGGTTTCGTCAGGCGCATCCCGCTCACAATGTCTGCGTCCAGAGGCGGTTTGGATTTCCCACTCTCCGAACCGGAACTGTTACAAGTGCTGGGTTCATTGCCTGCGAACCGCGCCCCAGGCCCAGATGGCTTGCCCTACGAGCTTTTTTCTTTTTTTTCGCGCCTTTTTCCAGCTGCCTGTGATGTCCGTGCCTTCAAGCTCCTACGGCCGCATCGGCCGCCGGCTCGCCCCAGCGCCCCCGACGAGGTCCAGGACCCTTTCCAGGCTGGGCCCGGCTCCCGGTCCCGCTTGCGGCTGGGCCGGCCACGCGCGTCCGAGGGCCGTGCCCGCGACGGCCTGCTGGACTGCGATGGAGATGATGCCTTGCCATCGCCTGGACCAGCCGCTCGCAGCCGCAGCGCGAACAGCTGGCGGCGCGCGTTGCGCGCGGAGGTGGACGAGATCCCGCAGGAAGCGGAGCGCCTGCGCGTTCCATCGCCCGCCAACCTCTGCTCCCAGCACAACCAGGCGCTGTGGCCCGCCACATGTGAGTTCGGGGTAAGCCGTCTGCTTGCGGCGCTCCGCGACCTGTAGCGCCGCGCCGTCGTCTGTATCCCCGCGCGGCTGTGGGTGACCTGCGCGGGTCAGCGGCGACACAAGCGTGGCGTCGCAGCAGAGCGCTCCCCCGTTGGTTGTGGCTCCGTAAACGACCATGTCCAGGCGCCGACGGTCATCTGGGCGTACTCCTGGGGCCGTCGTGTGGGCGAGCCATTGTTGTGGCACGACTTGGCCTTCGGGTCCGACTGCTTCCCTAGCCACGCGGAGCCACGCCCGTTCGACCACTTTTGCCCGTCTGGCCAGCAGTCCTGTCCGAGGACAGGCCAGCGCGTGGTCCCCCAGTGCGTCGACCTCCAGGCCGCACCCCGGGTTTGGGCCGCACCGGTGGGGGCTCAGGGGCAGGGGTAGCCGCAAGCGACGGCGCAAAGCCAGGAGCATGGCCTGCGGAGTCAAGGTCGTGCTTGGCTCGCCTGGTATGGCTGAAAGCCAGGCCCCCGCGTGCGGCCCAGCCTGGGAGCGGAGCATGGCTCGGGAGCTTGGCGGCATGGCCAGCAATAGCACGCGACTGCGAAAGTGTAGGTTGCGAGTCCGCGTCGCGTGAAATTGCCAGCCGTGCGGCCAGTCCCCCGGGCCTGCGTCTGTCGGGCGGGCGGGCCGCTCGCCTTCCAGGATGGCTTCCCAAGTGGGGCAGCTGTTCCACCCTTCGTCTATCAAAAGCTTGCGGGCCTCATCCGCCTCGCAGAAGCATGGGGCAGCGTCTTCTCCTCGTCCCAGCTCTCGGAGGTAGCGGTTAGCCCACTCCGGGAGTCGCGTTTGGATGACGGGGAGTGCATCGGCCCACGCGGCCCAGTAAGCGGCAGCAGCCGTCCGCGCGGCCGACTGCAATCCAAGGCCCCCGTGCGCCGCCGGAAGTGTGGCTATTTCCCAGGCATGCGCGGCTTTCTGCGCCGGAACCCCTCCCAGACATGCCTGCAGAGTCGTCCACATAGCCTCATCATGGGCATTGGCGTAAGCGGCGGACTGGGATGGAGGCATAGTGCGGATGGCGTGGTTTGCCCGCGGGGACGCGCACATGTGCAGGAGCAACCAGGCGCACTGGAGGTCCGGCAGCTGCGGCAGGTGGTCTAGCAGTTGCCGTTCCGTGCGCATGCGTTCGTCTGCCCATGAGCGGATGAAATCCGGATGGCCAATGGGCGAGCCCAGAACGACCACGCCCCGTTCGGCTGTTGGCTTATCGGCCCGCCAAACATCGTCGCCGAGTTCGGCGATGCCCGGTGGCGGTGGTCCTGGCTCGGAGGCTATGGCGCGGGTCTTGCCGAGATTCGATGCTATGCCGCAGTGCGTCGAAACCTCCTCAACGGTCGTGTCGAGGGCTGTGCGGGCACGGCCTGGGTTGGTCACGACGTACAAGTCATCCAAGAAGGCAACGAGGTTGTCGAGAGGGTGCAAGGCCTCGTCCGCGCGGGCGAGCGCATCATGTTGTCCAAGCGCGAACAGCGCCGGGGCTAACGGATCGCCTTGCTCGCAGCCTTCGGCTTGCCGTATGTCGCGGCAGCGCCCTTCCGTGTCCCACCAACAGTACGTGGACGGCTGGCCATAGAACAACCTCACGAAGGGGAGCAACTCCGGGGCCACCTGGCGCAGCTTCCCCAGGAAGGCCGCGCGAGACATACAATCATACGCGCTGCGGCCGTCGAGGGAGACCACGACGGCGTCCGGTCGCGTCGCGAGGGCGGCGCGAATGTGTGCAGCCAGTGCGTCCGTCCCGGCTCGTGCCTGTCGCGCGAATTGGTAAGGGCGGGTGGCTTGGTCGAATGTCTGCGCCCACTCCTTGGCGAGCGTGCGGGAAACGAGGCGCCGGAAGACGTCGCCCGTTGCTATGCCCCGAACACCGCCATCCGGTTTACGCAAAGCCGTGACTCGTGCCATGGCCAGGGCGCGTGCGACGGCTGCGGGGAGTCGAGCCTGTGCCAATTTTGCGGCAGCTTCGGCGAGGAGTTCCATGGCCGGGACATCCTGGATGAGGACTTTGAGATGCTCCGCCCGCATACCCGAAAGCCCCGGTGCCCCACCCCGGCGCGCCTCGCGCAAAGCGGAAGCCAAGGCTCGGACGCTGAGGAGGGGAAGCTGGGCCGGCTGGAAGTCGAGCAACTCTTGCGGGACCGCGGTGCGGGGCTCTGCGGGGCGGCGAGCCGGGTCGGTCAGCGCGGCCCATGTAGCATCGTCGCCCGGCGCTATCTCGGCCGCAGTCAGCACCTGGCGTGCACGCGAGACCTCACCTTTGCGAACCTTAGCACAGGCCAATTCGCGTTTGCGCTCGACCACTTCCTCCGGCGAGAGGAGTGTTTCTTGCCCGCCGGAGGGGGTATGGTGCCGGGCTGATTGGAGCAAGGACTGCCATGCTCCGCGCTGGAAAGCCTCGGCTCGGCCCAACAGCTCCGCCCGCCCCTGCGCGCCTCGCTGCTTCGGGCGTGCGAGCAGCATGCGCGGCGCGAGCAGGAACAGTTTCCACGCGCGGGACCTGGCTGCTTCGTCGCGCGAGTCTTGCTCGGTCTCGGCGTGGAGCCGGGCTAAAGCGTGCATCAGCGCTCCCCGCAGCGCAGCCCGCATGAATGGCGGCACGTCTTGCAACGTGGGGACGGGGTGGCGAAACTCCGACTCCAAATCGACCGCATCCAACGTGCGCCCCGCGTCCTCGGCCACTGCCGACGCCGGCGCGGGGCAAGTGGGCACGCGGTCGTGGGCGTCCACACCGCTACCATTGTCGGTGTCGCTTGCCTGCGCTCGTTCAGCTCGCCGTCGGCGGCGGGCTCGACGCCGACCGTGGCGTGGCGGCGTACCGGCATCGAACGCGTCTCGGGCATCTGCCGCCAGCGTCTGCGCGGAGGAAGCGGTGGCGGGGCCCCCATATGCTTGTAGAAGCGCAGACTGTGCTGCAGCGGGGATGTAACCATCTGGCATGGAGCACAGGAGAACCGCCCCCGACAGTGGTAGCGGGGCTTCTTCTGGGAGCGCTGCGAGCTCCGCTGCGGCAGAAGTAATGGCGGGCAGCTGACAACGGCTCGGCTCTAGGGAGTCGCACTCCAGCTCCGCTTGCAGATAACGCGCGAGGCGACCGGGCGGGACCGCGGCCGCTCCGCGCAAGGCGCCCTCCAACGTGGCGAAGCTCGCTCCGACCCTGGGGCAATTGTGCCACGCCACGCGCGCAGCTTGTGTGAGAGTGCCCGCGGCGGCATGTAGCAGTGGAACGAACAGCCACGAGCATCGCTCACCCGGTTTGAACCTGGGC